GGACAGGGCCTGTTTCTAAAGGAAGGCATACAACCATTGCAGACATTTTTAGATAAGATTAAGGAATTCTATGATGCAGAAATCCAAGCCACAAAGTTTCAGGAACCAAAAGAAGCTGAAAAACAGATCAATGATTATATAAAGAAAAAAACACATGGAAAAATTGTGGAAATAGTCAAGGATCTTGACCCAGAAACTGCCTTTGTTCTCACAAACTACATATTCTTTAAAGGTAACTTACACAGAGAAAAGTGATGATTCCATCACTAAACGAAATATCCAAAGATGATATTGAGGCAGAGTAAAGCTTTTTGAGTTTGGTGAAAGAAGGGTGGAATTGCTCCAATTCAGAAAACAAAACACCATAATTTCCAATCAATACAAAGTACATGCACTGAAAAACTAGCCAAGTACAGAAATTTAAGTATACTATATAGCTCTCATATAACTATTCACTACTGGGGGTTGTACAAAACAGAAACTGTATTGTTTATAATCAAAATACATGGTTTTTCACTTTTGCAGAACCATTTTAGGAATGGTGGTTCCAATTTTTTAAAAGCACCTAAGAGTAAGCCATCTTAAACAAAGTGGCATCCTGGTCACCATAAGTAAATTAATGCAGAGCACCTTACTAATTAAGTCATACCATGTCTTTGCCTGAGCAAAGACCATAATAACATTCACCTTACACAGGTTTAATACTTTTCTCCAAATATGACTACGAATCTTTTTTATACTCTTTAGGTAACTGGAAGATTCCATTTGATTCACAGCTCACAAGGGAAGAGGACTTCTTTGTGGATCACAACACAACTGTCAAAGTCCAAATGATGCAGAGGACCGGTTGGTTTTACTCCTATTTTGATAGCCAGCTGTCTTGCCGAGTATTGCAGATAGACTATAATGGTACAGCCACCACTTTTTTTGTTTTGCCTGATCCTGACAAAGAGAAGGAATTGGATGAGGCTCTGTCAATAAATACTCTAAACAAATGGGCAAAAAATGTATACAGGTAACA